AGTCCTTTCACCACGGAGCCAGCTTCAGAAAACCAAATCTGTTTCCTACCAGGAAGTTGTTAAACGCAGCATTAAAGAGCAAACTAAGGCACAGACTTCCTCGCATCTGTATTGGACTAACCCAAGTCAAGAATTTGAGTGGTTTGAAAATGTCCCCCTCCGTGTCCTCCCAGTTACTGGCAGTGCAGTTCCATGGTAGAGTCATCAGGGGACGTAGAAGGGAAACAAAATCAGGATTGGAGTAGAAACAGGTCCCCGCAGAAGGGTAGGTGACTTTAAGCCCTCTTTCATCTCCCTTTGCCTTTGTGTCCAAGTCAGGGGTCTGGCATTATTTCCTCCTGCGGTAGCTTAGTGCTGGCATAATAGCATTCTTTTTCTTTGCCAGGCTAGCTACTTGCCCTGTCCCTCATGAAGGGACCTTCCCTGCCTCCTGATCTGTTATGTAAAATTCAAATGACCCCTTAGAAGGGCTGAAGGCTCGAAATAATTGAAGGCTGTGCCTTGGAACAGACAAATGCCAGGCAGTGCTCTGCAGTCTCCTTTGTTAATGGTTCAAACCCATTATGGAATGTGCACTTTTGAGGGCGCACAGATTGGGAAAGATAATTGTAGGGTCGGCGTCTATAAAGTCTTTGTGAATACTTGGAAAGGGTCATAGTCTTCTCCTAACACGCAGCATGAGATTAGTGAGTTCTGCAATCCACGGGGACTTTGTCTCTTCTCTGGTACCTTGGGAGCCTTAGGAGGCATGGTTATGGAGGAAGGAGAGCCGGTGGCTTTACTGGGGACCAAGCGAGGGAATCGCAGCCTGTGGACTGGGGGGACAGGTTGTATCGGGACAGATGGTGTAGGACCTCTCCTTCCGAAATGTCGGTGTGACAGGCAGCCTTCCCTTAGCATCAAAGAAGAGTTAACCATTATCAAAGCCCTGCACATTCCCTCTGCCACTCGCCACTTCTTTACACTTCATCTGTTCATTCATTTCTTCCGTGAATGTGTATTGAGGGTCTATCATGTGCTAGGCCCTGTGCTGAGAAATGAGAGTACAACGATGAAAGCAAATGTTCCCTGTCTTCAAGGAGCTTACGATTTTGTAGGCACCCAGTGTGTGCACAAATGATAGAAGGTGATAGGTGCTACCCTGGAAGTATTCAAAAGGTGTTTAGACACAAAGAAGAAAATGCTTAATTCTGCTTGGAGAAGGAGAGTAAGGAAAAGTTGCACGGGGGAGAAAGCAAAGTGGGTGACCAAGGATGAAGCTACACGTTTTAGCCCTCTTCGGTGAGAGCAGGAGAAAGCAATCCGATTCAACCCAAAAGGCCTGGCCAGGAATCAGTTAGTCAGGGCTCTCCCCTGCCTTCTGCTTGCCTCTTGGCTATTTCACTCTCGTTACTACCATTAAAAGGATAGGTACGAGTGAAATCAGTTTATTTGGCTTCGGCTGAAGGAAAATCAAGGGAAAACACATCGGTGGGAAAAAGATTTAAAAAACAGAGCACATAATTTTTATTAAACTGGCATTACATTTTAAATAGATTTTTATTCGTCTGCAATTATTTTCTAATTTTATGTTTGTGAAATATTCAAACTATGGCACAATTAATAAATACAAAGTGAAAACTCCCTCTACCCCACCTCACCCACTTCCCAGGGCCAACACTAGTAACAGTTTGACGAGTATCTCCCTGGATTTTTAAATTTACATATAAATCTACAACTACAGTATTTTAAAACAAAATGGGATTGTACCATTCATATTATTATATCGAGTATCTGCAACTTGCCTCTCTCCCCTCCCCTCCCAGCTTACTACATCGCGAACATTCTTAGAACAATTTTTCAAAGGAAATGTCACCGCACCATACAGCGAAGGTTGTGGTAACAATATATAAATATCGCTTTGAGTCAGAAGGATCAGTACAGGCCCACCCTCACCTCCTCTGAGAAGCCGTCTCTGATTCACTCTATTGTGATTTTTTTTAGTCCTCACCTCTGAATCTTCCAGTATTTTTACAAGTTGTTTCTGAATGATGTTTGGCCCCTGTTCAGAAACATACTCCTTTGTCTTATATTCAAGCCCTTTCTGTTGCAAAGAACAAAGACTCCCTTTTGTAAGGATATGCCTGATCTGGAAAGTTCAACAACGTGAGCCGCCTGTAGACACTGGCCTTCTAGGCGTGCTTGTTTCTCTGTTGATTTGTTCCGGTCTCCTCGCTCTCTGGATCAGGTTCCTCACTCTACTAACTCTGTTATTCCCTCGCTGTCTGCCTTCTGGTTGTGCATCCATTCCTTCCTTCCTTCATTCATCAGATAGTGACTGAGTATTGACACCATGCCAGGGGTGGGGTGGGATTCTAGCACATAGAGTTTGGTTTGCTTTAATTCCGACTCAAAATCATGGCCTTCTTTAGGTCCACTTGGCAAATTCTTTCCATGTTTCTTAGTTCACATTCCTAAGGGTGAGAATCAGATCGGCCCGGTTTATCCCAGGCCATGCACAGATTGCTGCATACTCTATGGCCCAGTGCCTGTCCCTGCAGGTAGCTGTGTCTGGAGGAGGAGAATGGAAAACTGCAAGCAGGGCAGCCCTTCCCTGCCCAGCACGCTCTGTAAATGTCCTCAGATGTTACCTGCGCAGCTGTGTCATCTCCCCAACCAGAGTGCAAGTTAACAAGGATGGCCGTGATCTGCACACAGTAAGTGTTCAGTGGACAGTGTGAACACAGTTGGTTGTTTCTTTACATGGAGTTGGGTTCACTGTGGGCAGAGAGCGAGACTCACAGCCTCCCTCCTGCTCCAAGAAAGCACAGCTGGTGACCAGAGTGTCCCATGAGGTAGAGAACACAAGTCACGTGTCACATGGATGCTAATGCCATTGTGTGTCATCTTTGAAGTTAAAGTTGGAGGGGGATGATGAACTAGAGGAAAATTATAGCAGAGAAATACAAAGTTAGTGTAAATTTTAAATTCCTATAAGTGGAAATAAAAATTGAGCATTCAAAATGGAATTATAGACCTGGGCAAGAGACTTCTTTTCCAAGAGCCAAGCTATTTTTTATTCAGTAACTCTCTTCGAATGCTTGGGTTGCAATTCCTATTAAAACACAAAATATGTAGAAGAAATGATGATTACCACATAGTGCTCATGACTGAAGACAGAAGATTAGGAGGTTAAAATATAGTTTGCATCTAGTATCATTTAAATAGACATTTTCATCAGGGATGATACAGACGATGTCAACGATAGGGTATTAGAAATAGTCGACAACACAGCAGCTGCTCAGATGGGTTTCTGCCCCATCCTTTCATATTCTTGTCACTGTTCCCCAAGTCTCTGCTTTCGTTTGAGAGAACTGCTAAACTTCAGTGGATTCAAACTTTGAGTTCAAGTAAAACCACCAGATACCTTGAAGAACCGGCTGACCAATTGTCCTGTGGTGGGAGGGCAGAAGGCATTAATCCTCTGAGACTCCACCAGCATCCTAGGATGCTCTTGGAAGCCAGGCAGCACGGGGCCCTCCTGCCAAGGGCCTTGGGAGAGAGAAGCCTAAAGAAATATTGGTCTGCATCAGGGCGAGAGCAGGCACAGGAGAAGCCATTTAAAGAAGCAAACTTATAAAAGGGACGGGTGTCAATGTCTGCGGATGTCAATGTCTGCCCTCCTCATCACTCCCGCTCTGTCTGTGTCAGCTGGGTCTTGCACCTGGGACCCAGACTCTGCTGGGGCTCCCAGCTGGCCTCCCTGCCTCCAGAGTGGCGCCCCTCTGTCCTTCCTTCACGTCAGCCCTGAATCTCCTTTCCAAATAGCCAAGGGACTGCTGTGTTCAGAAAACATTCTTTCCCACTGCAGCCTGCCACACATGGAGTCACCCCCCTGCCCAAATCCTTAATGGGACATTTGCATTCTGATCCCAACCGATCTGTCTAATGTCACTGTCTCCCGCTCCCTGCTGTGCCACGCCGGACTCTCAGCAACCATCGCAGCCTCCTTGCCTCTGTCTGACATGTCACCCAAACGCCATCATGTTGCTTGTCCTTATCTTTCCCTCGCCTCCCCACAGCCCAAACCTGAAGCTCTTCCTGCGTGTTACCATAGCAATGAGTTTATGCTTCTGACCTTGGTTCTTTTTTGTTGTTCATAGGTTTGTCTCCTCCCTTGGACTATTTTCAGGGCAGGAACCTCTATCATTCATTCATCTTCACACCCTAACACCTGGGAAAATGCTCATCATAGGTGCTCAGATATATTATATTCAGGGAAAAAATTGTTGCCTTTAAATATTTGATGTGCTATTAAACTAGTTATTGATAGCACTTAATGTGTTAATCCTGATAACTGGTTTCTAATATCGCCATGTAAGTCTCCTGACCAGCAACATAAAAATAACATTAATTTCTGTTATATGTCAACTAATGTGCAATAATGAATGAATATTTTAAGTATCAGGAAGTATCCTGGTTAGGGAGTTAACACAGTGAATCCAAACTTCCTTTTCAAGTTCATGAAAGTGGATGGGTGGTTTTCCACGATGAAGACTCAAGATCTGAGTCTCCCTTTTTGTCTGACTTTGCTTGGATACGAAAAACTCCCCCTTGAACTCTAAAATTGCATTATTCTAACAGTTCTGCTTAGCAAGAGTAGAATATTACATAGATGGTTTTTCTGCTACTGTTAGCAATAAACACCACATTTAAAAAAAAAAAATCCCTGTTTTTACAAATGCTCCCAGGCATGGTTTAAAGTTTATTTAACTTCTAATAATAGGTGTGCAAATACATTGAGTGATCTCTTCCACAACGGCCCTGTTTCTTTAAGAGACCACGGTTGTTAAGTTGGCAGATCGTTGAACCATAGGAGGGTCAATAAAAGAATAAAAAGTCACTGGTTAGTGATTCGTGAACAAGGAACTTGATCCCAGTTCAGTATCTGTGTGTCCATATGCTGCCCAGGGTCAGAGAGCGAGAACAGCGGGATCCTCAGCTCCCTGCGCTTCCTCGGGATGGCTTCTGGAAGGCTCATCAAGCTCGTGGTTTTTGAGCTTCTGGAGTTTGCAGCTTTCTCCGTTCCCACACTTGTGATCATGGAGCAGTTTGCCACCGCCTATCAGAGGACCAGGACCGTGTCTGAGAAAACACATTATTGGCTGATCGTGTCCTGTTCTATCGCCTATGTGGCTGTAGTGACCCTGGTGATTTGGGTTCCTGTAAAAGTTCTCTTATACAAGAGACGTTATCTTTACACAAAAATTACAGGATGGTAAGTACAAGAACTCTTTAACGAGGAATCCCGTGATGTTTCCAAGGACATTTTCTAATGTACTGCATAAGAGGGTTGACATGGCGTGAGTGTATGTGATGTGAGGTTAGTCGGAGTGACAATCACTGTTCCTGTAAATGCGCTGATATTATGGTATCTTCAGTAATTTTTCTACAGGCATTTTTACTGAGTGATAATTACAAACTACATGTGTTGATAAGACTGGAGTTAGCACTGGTCCATGCTACCCTAAGTAGCAAACACTGGACCTAATTCCTCTGAACACTAGACTGCATAAAGTTATTAGAGTTAACTTACACAAATCATAATCGCAAGATTATAATATAGAATTTTACTTTTGTGTAAAACTGAAAGTAATGTCTATTTTTAAATGTTTCCATTGCATTTTGCAGGTCTAAGGCACACTTTGACCACATTAACCAATGAACATTTTTTTAAGCAACTCGTTCCTTTACTTAGACTTTAAAAAATAATGCTTTACTATGTTGGTAAATTCTATTATCCTTGTGGAGGAAAGTACTTCAATAATAATACAGAACTAATTGAAATAAATCAAGATTTAATGTCGAGTTAACTAGCAGTTTAGCTAGTGACTACAGAATCCACATAGAGGTATCGAGAACAAATAATTTCTGACACTAATATACTTTTCCTTTTAGATCTTCAGGTCTGATTGTTATTCATCTGGTATTTTCTTTGTTTTCCTTGATAAGTTAAATTTTCTTTTGTACTGATCTTTTATCTTAAAGTTGAACGACATAGAACACATTCGAAAAGGGAGAAGCTAGGAATTTTAACATAAACAAGGGCAGAAATGGGAAAATGATAGATGCAGGAAGAGAGCTAGAAATTCCTTCAGGAGGATGCTGAGGTGCAGGGCAGAAGTGTGTAGTTCATGAACTTCTCTTTCCGTACCGATACTGGATGTGGCCCCTAGAACCTTGCCAGGAGACTTGCAGTTCCCCAAGGGCAGAGCTTTTAAGGGAATTCCGGAAATAAACCACTCTGTTGTTGGCACTGCTTTTGTCAGTAGGGTGTAGGGGCTTTCCAAACCTTGTCCAGAGCCTTGTGGTCACCCAAGGGGTAGCTTGGAGCTGTGCCCTCCACTCCCCTCATTTCCCTGGGAGTTGCTTTGACTGCTCAAGACTCCTGGGGTGGGGGGGGTGGGGAAGGAACTTTGAGGGAATGGTGGAAGGTCCACAGGACAACAGGAGTAACCCAATAAGAAGCTGGCCCAATACAGCCCAGGAAAGAGCTCTTGGTGTTTTCTTTTTGTTTTGTTTTGCTTTTCTTCACATCGGTTCAAATCCCCAGGTCTCTAGATTCTGAAAGTCAAGCACAAATCTTCCCATATCATTTATTGTTATTATTATTAAGCTATAATTGCTTCTTTACAGATCATTTATTATGTACCAAGGTAAGTACTGATATGAGGTGCTATAGATATATCTACTTGACCTGATAAAGTAGATATTTGCATGAGTTTATCATTGCTATTCCCAAGGGGAAACTTTCCCAAAGTCAGTCAACTAGTGAGTGGAAGAGCCCTACTTTGGACCCGGGTCTAACTCCGTAATGGTTACTTCTAATCACTACCCTAAACTGCCTGTTTGAAGGTTGAGGTCCCAACCTCCTGAGGCAATTGAAATTAAGGAAGAGAGTAGGCTTTTGTTTCTATTCCTCAGTGCATGTGGTATACCACTGGCCTCATGTCGGTTCAGATTTCATTTTGTACATCTTGCTACAGTATCTTGGGCTGTCACAACAATTATATCTTTCAGTCATTTCTTTTGGGAAATACTCTTCCAGTCTTTCGTTTCTGTTTGTGGGTGTGGCGTGCCCCACCCACAGGTTATCTGTAATTTAGGTGAAACTATGGAACTGTGTCCTTATGGCCCCCTTCGTAGACACTATCATATAGTTATTTTTTATGGAGAAGGGAAGAAATAGCTACTGAAAACTATTCTAGGAGCTTTACACATTCCGTGCTATTAGATTTCAACTTTATGACTCCCCCAGTGAGGTGTAGGTGTTGGCATTCTCACTTTAAGAAAAAGAAACTGAAACTTGAAGAGGTGATTAACTTTGTCAAGAGAGAAAGCTAGTTACCTGGTGGAGCTGGGATTTGTGAGCCCAGATCTGTCAGATTTCATGCTATTTCCTCTATCTTATGCAACTTTTCCTTTATTCTTTCTCATTTTGAATGCCACATGTGTTTCAAGAAAAATGCAACTCTTTTAGTGTCATCAGGATACATTTCCCCCGAAGATGCATATTTGCATATTATATACGATTCCCAAAGATGTGCATTTGGATATTATAGTATATGTGGTGATATATAGGGTGTTATACCTTAGTTGCTAAATGAAGATGATGCAAAACTAGTCGATACTGTAGAAAGTGGGGATTGAAAGTATGAATTATGAATTATTTTTAAAGAATAATTAGATAATTGTTTACGTGAAATTTCATAGATCCTCAACATTCACAGATTTCATGTTGTTGAGACTATTTGGGAGCTTCCCTGGAGGTCCATGTGGCATTGTGAGCCCTCTAAGGCTGGTCTTCAGGAGAGAGCAAGTCAACAGCTAGCAAAGGGTGTGCCCCAGGAATGCATCTAAGGGACACCAGACCTGGATTGAAGTCCTAGCTTTGACATTGACTGTGAGACCTTGTGTGAGTTATTTAAATGCTTTGAGCTTTAGTTTTTTCATGAGCAAAACAGGGACAACTTAGTTTCTCCCTTGGAGTGCTGTTTTAAGAAGCTGCATGAGATTATGTGTATAAAGTTCCTAGTGAGATATGTAGCAAGCACTCAATGGATACTAGTGTTATTACCTCAGACTGAATTTACTATTTTCATTTAAAATGTGATCTTAATTCTGAGAATGACTCTGAAAAGCAGTGGAAGTGAAGATAAAACTGAAGAAAATTATAAGCTTTCAATGATATTCTTTGAATTTGGAGAATTTTTCAGGTCTCCTTTATTTTTTGAGAACAATGAGGGCCAACACAGTGATGTCATTTAGATCTTATAAAGTGGTTGCATTGACACCGTATTTTTATGTTTTATTTTCTCACTAGACCTGCACACCACTGTTGTAAAATTGACCAAGTGGACTTAATTTCCATTTTCTAAGGGAGGAAACAATTTCAGAGAGTGTAAAACATGCACTAAATCAACGGTGGAGTCTGGACTTTAATCCAGTGTTCTTTTCTTCCCTGTTGTACTTTACACTTCCTCATTCTTTTAGAATTATTGTTCCCTTCTAGGGACACCTGTCATAATTCATAATAAATGAGAGAGATATTTGGGGATATGAAGTAAAGCTATTTATATACACATGAAACTGTATTCCAGTAAACAAGAAAGGCCCTTTCTTGGAATATGTGTAAATGGGTGAAACCATTGAGCTACACGGCTAGCCTGAACCCAGATCAGATCCCCATTGAGAAGGTACAACAGGGCAGGATAATCCTAAAGTATTTGTGGAGATTCCCTGACTGTCTTGGGACCCAGAGCTATATCTGAGGATCCTCGAGTCCTTCAGGGTACAGCTACTTCCGACTACGACATGTCATGAATCCTGGCATTGTCAAGTTTGAAAGACCTTAACGTTTAGGGTGACATTTTATCTTGCTTAAATCTTTAACATACTCAGTGAGATTTTGCCGTTGATCTGTTTAAAGTCGTGGTGGTGGTAGTAGCAGTAGAAGTAGTTGTAGTCATAGTAAAATAAGAGCAAATATTTATTGAACAATTACTATGTACCGAGCATAATTCTAAACACATTGTCTGTATTATTTTCGTTAATTTTCTGATCTTTATATATAAGACAATTATAGTTTTCACTTTACAAATGAGGAAATTGAGGCACAGGAGTTAAAAGATCACACAGCCAATGTGTAGTTGAGCCAAGATGGCCCCAAGAGCGTCTGTCTTGAGACCCTGGTCTCTTGAGCACCTTACCGTTCCACGGTAGCCACAGTAGCCCAGAACACACAGCACCAGTAACATCTGTGCACAGATGGACAGACTGGCTAACCCGAAGGAAATAGAGCTCACTCTTTTCAGCACCTCTGAGAGGTCATTTGTAAGATGCCATCAACCTAATACTAGTGCTTCACAGTGACTTCTTCCCAGAACACTCCCATCTCTCAGTGGGTCTGTCATCTTCTTATATATTCGGTATCAATAATTTGGCCGTACTTGAACACAGACTTTCTCTTCCTTGCCCCAGCAAACCTAGTAAATCAGCACGAGTGAGTGTATCTACTTTTGCTCCTCTCTCCCTGCCATATGCAATAAGTCACCACATTCCATTCATTCTTCCATCTTCATTTCTCTTGCTCCTTGTTTTCCATGACTGTTTTCCTTATCCCAATTAGGCCCTCATTTCCAGGGCCACCATGCACTGGAGTTTCCGTCATTATCCCCCCATATTTTCATATATTCAGGTCCAGTGTTGGACCATTTGTCCTGATTGATTTTGTCCAAGGAAAAATGAAGAGCATCTTGTTAACTCATGCTCAGGCTCTGGCAACCTTCACCCACTGGTGTTCTCACCTCTTGCTTCTTTTCTCCCCTAAATTCCTTCCCAGTCCTTGTTGATGGGATATTACTCTTCTTAAAAAGAAGTTTTCTGCACATCAGCTACACATCTTAAAAATGAGCTCTTCCCCTTGCTTGTAGCATCAATGTTGACATTATTCCACAGAATCCTAAAACTGAAAGACCTCTTAGAATTCATCTACTACATTATTTCTCACCATATGGACAGATGGTCCACCTCTGATTTTACAGAGAACTCACTACTCTCTATGGCTCTCATTATTAGAACAGTCTTCCTTATTACTTGTGTTGGAATAAAACCTCCCACCATGTAGCTCTCTTCCCATCGTCTTTGCAGACTTCACCTCCTCTGCCCTCTCTTTATAAACCTGTGCATTTGACCATGGCCAGGAGCTCTACCCCTTGC